TAACTTTAAAGATGAGTTAGTAGAAACAGGAAGATTTCTGGATCATTGAATTTTTAGTGATTTCCAATCAAACGATGTAGCTCAGTCAACACGTACCCCTGCAGAGTTTGTGAGATATTTAAGAATTTTCTGCAGTTCTGTGTATCTGAAATTTTGGGGAAAGATAAGCTTTTTGGATGTTTAACGTGAAATACTGCCCATCTCTACTTTTTTGTGCTGTTAATTGCCAAAAGCAATTGGAGCTGACCAGTAGATTGAAAAAAAAATGTGAATCAGTTAACTTGTGATTTTGTTTTTTCCACCAAGGCAGAGTCAGGCTGATCCCATCATGTGAAAACCCTAAGACAACGGCATGGTCTGTGTAACTGATGTGAATTCCGGAGAAATGGCACAGATGAGAGTTTGTGTCTGGGGCAAAAGTGAAAATGTGAATGGAATAATTAATGGAATTAAGATGCGTCTGAAACCACGTGGAGCAGATAAAGTGACTACGGATGACCCCTGCGGGTGGACAGACAGAAGGCTGTGACACTCCGAGGCCTCACTGCCTAAATCTAGGACGGTCAGAGGGAGACTCCTGACAGCCAGGCGGGGACAGTCTCCGTCGTTTCTGTGAGAGCACTTGTCATCCCTAGTGTGGTCTGCACACACGGATTAATTAATCTCTAAGTGACAGACTTCTCCTTAGTGGACAGACAATGTGATCTCCTGTGAATCTGGTTGAATAAAAGCCCACAGGAAGTGTGGTTTGACCGCGGGCCTTAGTTTCCAAGAATGCATTCCAGTTCACTCATTTTCTCATTAGAAATAGCTCTGTTGGAAAACACTTTATAGATTAAGTAAAACCTCCTCTTTCCTGGAAAATATGACTAATTTAAATGCTTCACATTTCATAAATACCCTAAAGCTTCCAATCCCCTCAGCCTCTGTGAATTCACAAAAAGAGGTGTGTCTGAACGTTCATGATGACAAAAAGAAGAAAGCTGGGGACAGTCTTTCCTTTGATTCTGAAAGAAGATGCAGAGGGAGGAGGAGGAGGATGTGAGTATAACTATGTACTGGGGGGGGGGGACCAACAGAGAAATGGTCCACATCCCTGAATTTACAGAGTAAATCTCTGGAATCTCGAGAAAGCTGAATGATAAACCCAAGGACATACAAGTGACATATGACAGAGCCAAGAGGAAAAGATTTAAGGACATATACCTGTTTGTTTTACAGAGTATCTGTCTACATCTATCTGTGTATCTATCTACCTACCTACCTACCTATTTTCTGTCTGTCTATCTTCTATCTTTCTATCTGTCATGTATCATCTGTTACCTATCACCGAGTCGTCATCTATCTATAGGGAGGGACTAGGGCAGAGAGAAGAAGGATCCCAAAGAGAGGGTAGACTTGGGTGCCTGGCAGCACAGTGCCCTCAGTTATCTGATTGGAACCATCAACTCTAAAGTTTCACAACCCTGTAGTAAGGAATTCCACTTCCTTTTTTTGAGATTTCTAGACAGATTCTCTGAAATGGTGCACACCACAGGTAGTAGTCTGGAGAAGTGATGGACTTCTTCAGTTCCCTAATTCACTTTACGTCTTTTTGCAGTCTTCTAAATTCACTGATCCAGATCCTAAACCAGCAGTTCTAAAATGAAGAGCCATTAATGTAGAAGTCAGAAGTCAGTGGGAAATCTTCAAAATATTTAATATCTATGAGAAATTATACATTGTACCAAGCATTATATGGAACTTCTGATCTTCAAAAAAGATTATTATCAAAGGAGATTATACTAAGATATGTCCTTATAAGTTTACTTCCATTTTCTTTTATGGGTTAAATAATTTCTGTGAAATATGTACTATTTTATACTCATAAAGTGTGTTTTATGTTTTAAGGGAAATATGCTGTGGAATCTTATAAATACATGATCTTTAAGTAAACTTTATTAATTTCCTTGGCTCCTTATAAAGTCTAGGTCTCTATTCACCCTCATTTCTGGTGTTCTATGTTGAAAGGACAGCTTCACGGCACTGAAAAGCTGTTTCAGGTTAAACACACACATGCACAAACATGCACATACTTAACACACAACTCTAGAAATTGAACTTAAGTACTACTTTATCCTGTAAAGTCATGATCCAAATTAGGTAAAATCCAGTGATAAAATAAGTTGTTGTGTATTATTTTAAAATAATGTATGTCTATACAGATGACATCTATACAAATACACACCTTCCCATATACAATCTATCAAAAGTAAAGCATTATGGTCTAATTTCAGGAAAAAGGAACTGCAGTTGTAAGGCTGATTGCTCTATTACATCAGGGGAAAATAATGTTCATGGATTTTTTTCTCCTTGTGATTTATTTTCTCTTATGTTTAATTTTCAGAGCTATGTTTTTCCCTAAAATATAAGAATGTCTGCTGTGTGAAAATACACTGTGATCCTGATTCTAGATGTCAGTTAGTTTTAGGTGGTTTGTAGCTCAGCGTTAAAGAGGTGCAGGGATTCTGAGAGGCTCTTTGCGTGCTGATCATTGGCTTTTTACCAAATAGAAGGAGAGGGGAGTGGAACCCAGTGGGGCGGAGGTGACTGTACCAGGCTGATTTCACCGTAGCCTCTCCTCCAGCAGACCTGGGATGTTGGGAGCCATGCAGCCTGCCTGAGCTGCGCAGGGAGGGGCAGCCCTGGGCTCCCTGGGGAGGCTGACTCTGAGATGGAGACCAGCAGGCGTATTGCACCTAGGTGGGGGGAGAAACGAAGCCGAATTCGGTAGAAGGGGAGGCTGGACTGTGATGTCGTCCCAGTGGAATGCAAACTAGTCCTCGCAAAATACGCTTTTTGTTCTATTAGAAAACTTACATTTTCTTCAATCAATTGAAATAAGTTACTGTTTAGATACCAAGGAAATAAAAACTTGTTTGATATTAAGATGCAGCACATGGAATTGTAATGGGGCTGTTGGCTTTCCTCTGAAATTTTCTGTATTTTTTCCTGACCTGAATGTTCCCTTGTTTTCTTTTGTTCTATAACTTTAGCTGGTGCATCAAGAATTCCATCCACTGCTCTCCCTGCGGGAAGACGGCCAGTCAGACCGTCTGAGTGACGACAGAGGGCTGTTGCAGCTTTCCTCACCAAAACTCA